TTGGCAAGCGCCGGCGCGCCCCGCGGCCTCGCGTCCTCCCTAGGCAGGGGGGAATCCAAGAGCTCCAGGGTCAGCGGGTGCCCCGTGGAGCAGGGATCGAACCTGCTGAGGGACTTCAACCAAGTCCCTCGGGAAGAGGAGCCCCTCGGGAAGAGGAGCCTCGGGAAGAGGAGCCTCTGCGAGGCAAGGAGCCATGTACAGGGCAGGGGACGTGCGGATGCTCCAAGGGTGCAGAACGGGGCCTTGTAGCCCCCGATGCTCCAGGGCAACCAGCCCCAGACCTTTGGCAGCACCGCAGCGGTGTCCTCAGGAACTGATTTCAAACCAGTGCCCATCCTGCTCAACGGGGAGCTAAGTTGTGGGTCCATCCTCACGCTGGCAGCGCCGCAGGGTCTCCCCAACCCTCAGGAGCGATGGGTGGACACAAGCCCCGTACACGCGCTGAGCGACAGCACTGCCCACGAGCACGAGGGGTGCAGGAACCCCAGGGCGATGCTCAAGGTCCTGGACAAGCATCCAGGACTTGCTATCCAGGGAATCCTCTCCCATCTCCATGGCGGGAGCCGCCTGGCCCCAGCCGATGGGGACATGGCGCCATCCCTGGGCTCTCCGGGGGAGCAGGGAGGCGAATGGCCCCCGTAGGCTCAGGTGCACCCGTGCGGGTGAGAGCTCCTCTGGATGCAGAGGTTCCCTTGGTTTGTCATTACTATTCAGGGCACCAGCAGGCAAACGCGGCCGCGTTAACCCCTCGGGGGAGTCGCTGTGGCAGATGTGTCCAGGGGGGAGGTTTCCTCCTCGCTAGCTCCTACCGCCGGTGCTCGGGGCAGGCACAGGCTGGACACGATCATGAGCAAGAGGCAAAGCGAGGCCCACGCTCAGCCCCAAGCTGGGGCAGCAGGAAAGCTCGTGGGGGAAACGGTGCTCGGGCGCGATGGGGACACACCGACACGTCCTGGAGCCAGCGCGGGGGAGGCTCCTCCAGGTGCTCCCGGTAGCAGGATCCGACCTTCCGCTGTCACTGCCCACCCTCATCCTCTGCCGTGATCAGAGAGCCCACGTGGCAGAGATCCCCCCGGCTCCGA